TGTACTATATATTACATATTATTATATAATTATTAAATTTCTTAGGTGTAATGTTACTGTGTTATGTAAAATAATGTTCTTTTACTGGAAAATACATACTCAAGTATGTAGGGGTGATTTCACAGGATGTGTACAACTTATATCCAAACTACTCAAAAAAAGAGACAAAGAAAGATAGAGAAAATTTATGTGCCAAAATGTTTTAAGAATGTAGGTAATATACAGGTGTTCACCATATTAATACTTGAACTTTTCTGTAGTTTGGAAATTTTCAAAATAAAAGGCTGGAGGAGAGGGAAATTTTGAAAAACACGCACACTGCATAAACATACACACATATTTGGTAGTTTAGTGGCAACAGTTCCTTCCCACTATACAGTCAGCCCTCCATAGCCATGGATTCAGCATCCATGGATTCAACCAACTTCAGATCAATAAGATTAACAAAAATAAAAACCAAGTAATCTAGAGATGATTTAAAGTACGTGAAAGGATGTGCATAGGTCATATGCAAATACTATGCCATTTTACATAAGGGACTTCAGTATCTCCAGACTTGGGTATCCACGGGGGTCCTGGAAACCCAATCCTCCTGTGGAAATCAAGGAATGACAATATTTCGATCTCAAATAATCTTCTAATTACAACTTAGTTAAAAATAATTCGTTCATTTGAGGAAATCTGACTTTGGTCTGGATTATAGATGACATTAAGAATTACTCCATAATATCATTATAGGTGATTATTATGGAATTACCATTTGTAATACCTAAAAAAATAACCACTTAGTAATTATAAATGGTATTACTATGATATTAGCAAATATCATACTTAGAATGTGTCAAGTATTTACAGGTGCAATGTCAGGGTGTCTACAATTTACTTTCAGATGGCTCAGAAAAAAAAATACATGTAGGTATTTAGAAAAAAATAAATATGGAAAAATGTTAACAGTTTTATAAATTTAGGTGGAATGTATTCATGTACTCATTTTCTCATTATTTTGGCTTGTCAATAAGTTTGAAGTTCTTCATAATAAATAAGGAGGAAGTCAATCAATAAAATAATGCACATAAATACTTTAAGGGCTTAGTAAGTTAAAAGTCTACTTTTACCTTATGTGATTGATATTAAAGTAAACATAATTTTGACTAGAATGTATTGTATGAAACAAATTGGATGACTGTTTAGAGACCGTACCATCAACTTTAAGCTTTTCTTTTTCTTGAGCAGCTTGGAGTTCAAAGTTCTCTTTATTTTTGGCTTCAATTTCTTCTAGTTTTCTTCTTTGTTCTTCCTTTTTCTTTCTTCTCTTCTCCTTTCTTTTTTCTCTTTTGGCAGCCAAAGCCAGCCTCCGACTTTCTTCCCTTAACTGTCAAAGGATCAACAAAATAGAAATGTAACATTGGAATTTATCCTGGAGAAGATGCTGTTATATTACCAGGTTTATTATAAGGCAATCAAGATACCATAAAATTCAGCCATCTAGTTCAATTCATTGTTTTACCAAGATCATACTCAAACCATTCTAAACAGTCATTATTTTTAAAAAATATCAAGACCAAATAAAGGATAAAAGACATCTAATTTTAAAATGGGTAAATGATAAACAGATACGTAGCTTTATAATCATTAAAGAAATGTAAGCTGAAATAACAAATAACCATTTTTCAATCATTAATTTGGAAAATTTAAAAAGATATCACACATTATCAGCACAAGTATGGAAAAATGAGTTCTATCCTATATTGCTGTGGGTATAAACATTTACATTTTAGAAAAAGTAATTTGAAAGCCTTCTATCAAAATTACAAACTGTTTATCTTAAGAATTTATTCTATAAAGTTATCTTTAGCAAAAAATAAAGATTCAACAATTTTTGCTGCAAAATTGATTATAATGGCAATAAATGAAAAGGTAAATCCATCAATAAAAAAGAATTAGTTAACAGTATACATTCACAGAATACTAGGCAGCCATTGAAAGGTGTTACAAATATGTACTTGAAAATAATTTACATTTGTTAGGGAAAAAAGGTACACTGCAGACTAATAAACACATTTACAGGGGAAGGGAACCCTTTCTATGCTATTTGTAAAAGTATAGGAAAAAAGGCACGAACAAAAAGGTATGGCAGTTATGGAAATTAATCAGAGGCTGATTACCTCTGGAGGGTAGAACTGGAAGAGGAGTAGCAGAAAGATGGAGACTATCAATTTTACTTTAAATAACTGTACATTTTTTCTATTTGATAAAATGAATATGCATTACTTTCATAGGCAAAAAATTAAAGATAAGTTTAAAAGTCCAACAACATCTCTTAGTAAACTATTTTAACTGTTACATTTTCTTCCTTGGTTCATAAAAGTAGGAAAATCATCTTCAAAATCTTTTGTTTGGGCCGGGCGCGGTGGCTCATGCCTGTAATCCTAGCACTCTGGGAGGC